AGGAATACTTGGCTGAAATTCAGAATTTGAAGCTGTTGAATTGGAAAAAAAGATAAATGAAAGAAGTTTCAATAAACTACGATCTATACGAGTAGTACGCGATAGAATATACGAATCAGTGACCTCAATTATTTAAAGAAACGCCTGAGAGGCTGGTACGCAGAGATTCGGAAAACACGCGACCAATTCTCGATATCGACTTTGCCCTGTCAAGTGTGATGGATTTAAAGTTCAACATAGACGGAGTAAACTTGAAGTTCGATAGGTTTGCCAGTAGTTTAGAAAGATAGTATTACCTACGTTCAACTCACGTACGATGAATTTGACGTTAGGATGATAAAAAAAAATAATGAGTTATGAATTCATTCAATTTTTCTGATACATTTCCATGCATTTCTATGCAAATATTGATACGCATTACCATAATCTTTGTCTCATTTTTCGTTGAATTTCGCGGATTTATTCAATATTTTTTAATCAGATCAATATTGCATTGTTTCTTACTACTATTTTTTTTTGAAATTTATGTTTAAATTAGATAAAAAATTTTACTCTTAGTTCTAGATTTGAATTTTTATATTATGAAAAAAATTAGTTATCTTTAGATAAGAGGAAGTATTATCATCTTTTTATTCAATGTAATACAAAAAATCATTAGGTTAGAATAAAAGTAAGTTTCTGAAGTATATTTAGAATCATTTAGTAGTAGATTATTTACGAGATATGAATGGAATGAAATATAGTTTAAGTGTAATATATTTAATAAATATTTTTCGATAAAATAAACGAAGAGAACTTATCAAAAGTTGAGTGGAGAGAAAGAGAGTTGATTTATATGAAATGGATTGTCGATTTATCATTTAAAGAGTCTGATAATAAAAAGAATTAACTACAATTCGGATAAATGTCCAAAATAGGTCACTTGAAGGGTGTTTTTAATTGAAAATCAATGGCTGTATTAAAAAATAAATAAATGGATACTTTTAGCTGCATGTTTTTAACTGAAAATAATTCTCTATGAAAGTAGAAGTGTTGAAATTTAATTCAATTTGTGAATTGTATTCTTTTTTCTACAAAAAATCCATTTAATATTTTTTTTTTTAAATAATCTTCTTTATTATGATTTCAATTTCTTTGAGAAAATCCTTTCTAAAAAATTGACTTTGAATGTAACCTATTTTAATCAACTCAACTGAAATTTATATAATTATTTTTATTTCTTTCTTCTCATCTTCAGTAAGAAAAGTATAAACGTCAATTTAATTCAAGAACCATCTTGAGAAAAATTTGTTGAAACATATCAGAAGGAATTTTTTTGACAACCTGTATAAAAAAATTTCAATCCGCAAACGTTTCCCGAATATTCCCTAGCGGGACTATAGGGAAAAAAATTTTTTTTTTGAAAATTTTTACATCAAAAAATTAATGAAATAATGATATATTGGCGAGTAACTGTAAGATATAAAAATGTGTATAACTTCTATGCAAATGATGCTATCGGGTTGATCGAGGACTCAAATGAAAGGTCTAGACGAGAGGAAAGAAGTAGATACAGCTGAAATCATGATTGGAGCATAGTTGATGTAGAAATTGAAGTAAGTTCCCGTTTTAACCCATTTTAGGGGTGAAATAATTAATTTTTTATATGTTTGACCCGATTCCGCAAATCTACGCATTGAGACGAAGAGAATGAGTGGTCAAACTTGAAAATCGGACAACTTTGATTTTTCACCCCGAAAAAATGGCAAGTGGTACCCCTTTCCATTTTTTTCGACCAAAAAATAAAGGTACTCCGATTTTGATGATTGAGGGCTCATTCTCTTCGTCTTGATGTGTAGAAATGCGGAATCGGGGCACCGGTCAAGAAAATTCACTTTAACGCCCTTAAAAACGGGTTACACTAAATACAAATTACGAATTATCATCCCCTTGACTTTAAACCTTTATAACTCATGAACGGACGGTCCAATTACTGATTTTAGGGACGTTTTGAAAAGCTTAAAATCTGAGCTAAATATGCATATTTATAAAAAACGTTTAAAAAATTTCTTTCACCCTTAAAATCGCTGAAATAAAAAAAAAAATCAAATTTTTCCGGGAAGTTGCCAACTATTTTAGCAATTTTAAGGGTGAAATAAATTTTTTAAACATTTTTCATGGATATGTATCTTTAGCTTAGATTCTGAAGTTTCCATACACATCCTTAAAATCATTATCAGATAATTTGTATAGGAGTTATCGAGGTTCAAAGTTAAGAAGTAGACGATTTTTTGGCCCTATTTCCACTTTGAACCTCGATAACTCCTATACAAATTATCTGATAATGATTTTAAGGATGTGTATGGAAACTTCAGAATCTAAGCTAAAGATACATATCCATGAAAAATGTTTAAAAAATTTATTTTACCCTTAAAATTGCTAAAATAGTTGGCAACTTCCCGGAAAAATTTGATTTTTTTTTTTATTTCAGCGATTTTAAGGGTGAAAGAAATTTTTTAAACGTTTTTTATAAATATGCATATTTAGCTCAGATTTTAAGCTTTTCAAAACGTCCCTAAAATCAGTAATTGGACCGTCCGTTCATGAGTTATAAAGGTTTAAAGTCAAGGGGATGATAATTCGTAATTTGTATTTAGTGTAACCCGTTTTTAAGGGCGTTAAAGTGAATTTTCTTGACCGGTGCCCCGATTCCGCATTTCTACACATCAAGACGAAGAGAATGAGCCCTCAATCATCAAAATCGGAGTACCTTTATTTTTTGGTCGAAAAAAATGGAAAGGGGTACCACTTGCCATTTTTTCGGGGTGAAAAATCAAAGTTGTCCGATTTTCAAGTTTGACCACTCATTCTCTTCGTCTCAATGCGTAGATTTGCGGAATCGGGTCAAACATATAAAAAATTAATTATTTCACCCCTAAAATGGGGTAAAACGGGAACTTGCGTTAATTTCAGCATCAACTATGCTCCAATCATGATTTCAGCTGTATCTTCTTTTTCCTCTCGTCTAGACCTTTCATTTGAGTCCTCGATCAACCCGATAGAATCATTAGCATAGAAGTTATACACATTTTTATATCTTACAGTTACTCGCCAATATATCATTATTTCATTAATTTTTTGATGTAAAAATTTTCAAAAAAAAAATTTTTTTCCCTATAGTCCCGCTAGGGAATATTCGGGAAACGTTTGCGGATTGAAATTTTTTTATACCGGAATTACTATTTGTTTTATCCTTAATTTTTTTTTTCCCTCTACCTTAAAGAAATTGTTCTCAAATCCAAGATGATTTTCTCGAGTCAGGTAAACTTTTGGACAAAATAGTTTTCTTTCTTATATGTATGTTAAAAAAAAGCTTAAGGTTTTGCAAAATGGATTGTATGTAAGTCATGAAACCATGTAATGACCTTAAAAAAAAATTCTCACGTTCAGGTCGTATCTTTCGATCTCACTGGGATAGTAATCCACAAAAAAGTCTAAGAGATGCGTGAGTTGGAACATCGATCGACGAGTAGTAAAGCACGAACATTGAGAAACTTGTATTAATAGGATTTCTGTCTCGTTGATTTCAGTTTTACGTCACTTTATTTTGTGTTAATCGAAGTAATCTAATACGCTTCAAATAATTTTTTTAACTACCATAACTTTTTCTTAGAGGTTAAAATTTGTTCAAGGAAAATTGCATTTCTTTAAATATACAAAAAGACCATAAAAAGAACAAGAGGAAGAAGAAATATTTTCAACTCGACAAAGTTAAAAAGAATTAGATTAAGTAGTTAAAAACTGAAATAGTCAGATCTCATTATTCATTCGTGAACCATCCAGATCTTGGAGGGAAAAATTAAAAACAAAAACACTATTAAGCAAACGTTAACTTATTTTTCAGGTCAATCGATTTACTTGTCCACTGCATCATTTGCTCAATTCCATCGCGTTGCGGTTCAATAACTTTTTTAGTAGTCGATTCATTTAAAAGCTTCAAAGCTTGGTGTGTGGGCACTGCCATCTATCTAATAGAATATCAGATAAATGAAAATTCTATCTCTTTGAGATAAAAGCTCTAATAGATTGACTGCTCGCAATGGAAGCTTTATAATAGCATGAATTCTCAATATTTCAATAATCATAAATTCCATAAATTTTAATCCTAGTACCTTCAAACAGTTATGCTATTCACTGCAATAAACAATTAACATTCATTTTAATCATCAATCAATCTAGCAGATTTATTAACACACTCTTTTACCAATATTTCATCATTTATTACTAAATAAAATCAAAAGAAGTATATGAAATAAATAATAACTTTAGAAAAGTTGAAAATTCTTTTTTTGTGTTTTAAGAATAATAAAATAACAATAATTAAAAAAAAAACACATACCGTTCTGCTGCAAATAGCCTGTGATCCATAAATAAGAGTCAGCAATTAATTCAATGAATCACGAAACCGGTGGCTTAGAAGCACCTGCACAAGTATTAAAAAATATAACTCACACTCAATCACCACGAAATAAAGTTTCAACTGTAAGATGGTCCAAGATACTGATACAAATTCGCTTCATATTATGGACAGAATGAAAATATAGATAAAAATAAACACCGAATTGTTAGAGCAATTAAATATCGCGTGGTTTGTGCACTGCAGATGTCGAACAGCTGATCGAGGGGTTGGATAAAGGTCAGGAAACTTCTATTGGTGCCATCTGTCGTGGGGTTGTTAAACAACTTTTCTTCGGACAAGTTTTTCAATTTAAAAGTAGATAAAAAAAGCGTGCAATTTATCATAAGCTTCGCATGTTTTCATAAAGAATTACATTTATTTAATAATTAATTTTACAGCGTGATAATAAGTTACTCTGAGTACAGAATCATCGCTGATTTATAATTTACTAATTAAGACGATTAGTATGTAAGTATTTTTGTGTAAGTAAATATAGCAATACGTGTCATTGGTTCGTCATGGCATCCTTATATTAGAGCTTATCACAAAGACAAAAAGCTCATTTTTTTAAATATAATTTCTTTATTTCAATCTGTTATTATTAACAATAATAATTTTATTCCACAAACTATAGATCTCTTACGTATTTGAGTGCATTGATCACAATAAGGCCACTAATTTCGTTTGTTTTTTTTTCTGTAAAGCGCACGTTGATTATTTTTACAGTGCGTTTGTATATATCGATCGATCGTTTTATTATTTCACAAATAATGCTTTGAATGCAATACCGGCAAAAGCAAAAAAGGTCATTGCATTTCAAAACTTATTGTATCATTTTCTTTTGTATTATAGAATGATAGTTACAATAATTAAAATAACAAAAACGTCACAACATCTGCACCAAAATAGCCCAGAATAATTGATCATTAGTTATCAAAGTCCATCAATAAACGTAAAAATAGATCGGAAAGTAGATCAATTAAATAGTTTATCGAGATTAGTCTGAAATGAGAATTAATGAGACTCACATCTCATGAGAACAAATACATTTTAGAAACTCTTTGTTCATTTGATATCATAAAAAGCACAAGTAAATCAAAAGAAATAAATTTAATTGAGAAATAATATTAATAACATCACCTTTAACTCTATTCACTTCCCCATTAGCTCAATCTCTCTTGAAGGATACTTTTAATATAATCATTATAAGAATAATAATAATAATTACAATAATAATAAGTATAATAATATATTAATATTAAGCGATTTCTTTTTTTTTTAATATTATTTTTTGAGGCATCTGCACATTGTTCCCATTGTGATGTTTTTTTCATCGGGACTATTTTTTTTTTTTATATTTTTTCGTTTTTCTTTATTTGATATCAACACAGTATCTTCTGAATCCAGCAGTTCTCGAAAGTTTACTTCGAAAACAGCTGGAGTACGCTTTATTAAGGAGCTAACGTAGTACATAAGAAGTTGAAATTATAAATGACTATTATAGTAACAAATGACTAATTTCACTACGATTGTGAGTTGAAATTTATTCGAAAACTCATGTATATATATAGATATTAATTTGAGAATAATTTAAGACAACACTGACATTGATATAATGTAATATGTAAATACTCGTTTTTGTATAATCGTTTTAATAAATTCGTGTCAATCATAGTGAGATTACAGCTTGTTATTGTGCTCGATAATTAAATTTGTTTGATGTTTTACGTTTTCTTATTATCTTTTTTTTTTTTTACCACATACATTCCTTCAACTCTATCTTTTCGCCTGCATTTTTTCCTCCCTCATTCGTTACTCATTTTTTCCGTACGATTTTCATTCCGAGAGCTTCTGTTTGGCGCACTCGGGACAGATGATATCGTCGCCATCAGTAATGAATCCACGTCCGACTAGTGAAGTATTGCATCCAGCACAGATGAAGCAGTCATTGTGCCAATGTCTGTCCTCGAATGAGATGAAACGCGTTCCGCCAATACCTGTCCAATAAAGATAATTGCAATAATGATTATTGGAATTAATTGAAATAAATTTCAACCACGTTATTCTTCAATTTAAATGTCTTAATTTTTTCTACATAAAATTTTTTAAAAATTGTGATTATTTCATCATTTATTTATTAATTAGAAGAATAAAAAAATTTCCATGAATTTTTAAATTTCTTAAGACAATTTTTTTTTCTTTAATTAATATTTTTATGAAGTTAAATATATAAGATTGAAATAAATAAAATTTAAGAGAATATTTTCCAAAGGAATTGACTGTTAGAATAAGAAATAGTTTGTCGACAATTCAAATGTGGTCTAATAAGGAATTTGAATAGAACATTGAAATTGAAGGCAAATTGAGGGCAAGGGAATTAATTAGAACGTACCAGTGATTGGTTTGGAGCAAGCGGTACACCTTTTGGCAAAGAGCTCGCCAAAGCACTCAGCACAATAAGGTTTATCATCTCGTGAAGTGAATCGTTGGCCTGCCAGTGAGTTGTTGCAATGGCTGCAAGTGAAACAATCTCTGTGCCATGGCTCTTGCTTGTATGTCACACCGCCACTGGTGATAATCTGTAGTGAATAAAAAATATTCAATGATATTTTTCATGTTTAATTGAATTTGATATACATTTAATCCACTTGAAGATGAGAATACAATAATAAATTGTACCTTGTTGCACTTGACACATCGAGTAGCAAATTTATCTTCGTAACAGCTAGCACAATAGATTTCCTGCTCGCGCGGAATGAAGCTCTTCGTGCCAATGGGATTCTTGCAGACGACGCAGCAAAAGCATTTCTCGTGCCACTGTCGAGTTTTGTATTCCATCTTCTTGGTTCCTATGAACATAAGCACCAAGTTATGTAAATAAACAACTTTAATCAAATTTCAAATATATTCGAGGCATTTGACTATCCCTCATCAGGTCACGCAAACGGACTTTTCAGGAAAATACCTTTGAGACTAATAATTTAGTCTTGCGTGAGCAACCTATACTGTAAACATACACCAATCTTCCAAATTATTCTCTTGACAGCACGCGCTATTTTCATATTTGCTGCAATAAGGAAATGAAAATATGTCCGGACGCATTTAATTATTTATACGCCTACAGCATCTAACATGCGATTACATGCAATGTCCTCGGAAACTGCTGTTTAAGGTATTCAATGGTTGTTTAATAAATCTTTGGAAATTAAAAATTCGAAAAATCCGCACATTATCACCCACGGACTCGGAGGATAAATTATGATTAAGATAAACAAAATGTTTTTTAATTTATTCACTTCATAAATAGAGATTTGCTCACCATTGTTTCAACAACAGCTGAATATATTCATCAAGTGAACAGGACTCTTAACCGGAAAATAAAAAAAAAAGTCTTCAACAGTTTTCGTGATAAAAAATTCAAAGGTTTTTAAATTTAAAACAGTTCATCATTTGGATGATAAGACGTCCTTGAGATAAGAAACTCACAGACGTTAATAATTGTTTAATGAATCTTTACATTTTCACCTACAGATTTGATTTAAAAAAAAACAATGCTTTATTATGAATCAACAGAACTCAATATGGCATTCGATTACTTAAGAGTCACTATCTGTATCAGAATAACAAATTCATCCACACGTAATAAGATAAATTGTCTTTTTATTTATCGATCAAGTGCACGAATCCCATTAACCTAAATTTTGGAGGAAAATTAGAAAAGTAGTTTGACTGGTTTTGATCAGCCTTTCGTCAAGCATCACTCTCTATACGTCTAGAATGAGAGTATAAATCGAGTACAGGGGTCATCTGTGTGAAAGAAAGATTAATATTGAATATATATATTCATTGCTGGTCCATTGGTCTAGGGCATTAAATAGTTATTTTAGGATGTTAATGCTGATATAAGCATCATGCTTAGTAACTTATGTAGTGGATGTGGGCGACTAAATCAGGTAATTTATTTTCTTTGCTCTCATCTGGATAACTTTAACTATTTTCAAGCCATGTCATCTTCTCTCTTCTGGGATGACACATCTAATTTTATCTTGCCTCTCACTCTCTTCTCTGTCTCTTATCGTTTTTATTTGGCAATTTAGAAGTATTATTCGGCATGACAGTAAACGAAATTAATTCCATTCAAATTAGCCTCCATTTATGACTAATAAATGACGTTAATAAATTCTTATTTCATCAAATATAGACTAATTAACATGTTTAATGGAATCATCAACAGGTTTTTATTCATTTAGACAAATCAAGTAAACATGGCATTATTTATCTTTCCAATTTACCCAACCAGAAGCTTAGTACAGAAGACAAATTCGCGATGATTATTTGCAAGAAATTTTTTTTTTGTAGATGGTGGATTAAATGCTTTTTTGGTGAAGAAAAAATACGTTATCTTGACATTTGAATAGAGTTGTTTGAGTTTTTATATATTTCCAGGAATGATCTAACTCATGATTGATTAGACACGTTCATTAAGAGAACTCGTTTAATCGCGTGGCTTAAAAAACAATTTTACTGATAATCTTCAAGACTGGTTTTATGAATGATAAATCTTTTTGTTTTTTAAATTTTTTCTCTAGATTTCAATTCGTTTATTTACAGTGCTAATGAATATGTTTTTTATGTCATTAATAAAATTTTAAGAAAAATATTTTCTATGAATAACTTACAAAAAGAATAATTAAATTTATTTCTATGGTCGTGCTAATTAAAAATAAATTAATATTCGGTTCCAATGTTACTTATGACTTATTTTCTTCCACATTTTTTAAAGATTAATTACTAAGATTCTAATTCCAGAATATTTTCACAGATAAAATTGTTTGAATTAATAATTAATTAAAATTTATAATCACTCAAAAATCAATTAAAAAATTCCCATCTTCCGAAATAATGAATATTATTATCAATTCAAAGTGATTAATTATTTTAATGAGAATTTTTTCGAGAAATATTTCTTCCGAATAATTAGTTTTTTATTTTGACTGATAAGTTGTTTTATGAAATGATTAATTAGCTTTATAATCAAAGTTCAATGAAATTTTTAATTTTCGTTCATTGAAGAAACGAAAATGAATTAAACGAGGGCGGAAATGAATGTACTTGTTATGGAATGGTTACTTAAAAACTACTATGAGAAAAATATTATTTGATGACTCAGTAGGACCGTGGTGTGACGTCATAATGTCCAAACTAGTACCGTACATGTATAAACTCAAATGGATTCCCAAGGCTGATTGTCGCAACTTGGTCAGAAGCATACGTCGCACTTTAATGCTCCAGTGTCATTGATAGATATCTCAAAGTGTCAGTATTTCACTCCGAAAACTAATTGTTACGCGTGTATATATACTTATAAATATATCAATAACTCCTGAGTATGACATAGATCCACCTTCATCACGAAGAGTAATCGTAAAAAACGCCTCTCAAATTAACCAGCCTATAGTTAATGTCATGAATAATTTATGATGAGAAATGAAACATCTTTTATGATAGTTGTCGTTGGTAAAGGATGATAAACAAACCGTCATCTCTAAATATACGATCTTTCACGATCTCGATGATAAAACTCATCTTGACCTACGTGAACGTTATGATTGCGATCAATATTTACAACTTATCCATCGGATCCATTTACTCGTTTTTCACATTCAGCAAATGTTTACTCTATCAGGGTATCAATTAACGAGAAATTTAATCGAGAAAGGTCAACCGTGCCCACTGATGTCAAGGCGAATTATTGATCCACCTTATCAAGGATACAATAAAATTGAGTAAACCTAGACTCTTAGAGAATATTAGTAATTATTGAGTAAGATATATTTACTAAGTACACAATACCACAAGCCATAAATGCTTATACGGTTCGTTCGATGCTTTATATTCCCGATAAGGCTACATCTCTCTTGTGAGCGTTCTCTCAAATCGACCGGTTTCATGACGTTTTAACGCGCCACCTCGGCCCACATCGCTATCAGCCGACCTTAAATAATTCCAGTTCTTACAGTATAATAAACATAACTGTTATTTTATGATATCGATAATTTTTTATCACCTGGCTCTGCTTTCTTCCAGTCACCAGTTCTGCAATTCCTGCCTAAGCAGCATCTGAACCTTGGATCACCTTCCATTGGGATCATACTGAATATTGCAATGTCTTCATCCCTTTCTTTCGCTTTACGGATTCGATCTTCACCCACAGTCTTTGTCGTAAATCGAAGACTACTTGAGAAACGTTCTCTCAGTGCTTCAGTCGCCATTTCAATTGTAATTTATGATTTAATAATTCCCTTTATGACAATGATTGGTTCACTTTTTTACTGTCAATTGCCGGTCCAAGTAGATAAATTCACACACGACTATTTGATTTTATATTCCAAACTCTTTTCCAGCCGCAAAGGACGAAGTGATTACTCGAAGTCACGACGATCATCGATGTGCTGAGATACTTATTGAAAGAACTCGCGACTCCCCACCTCTCACATGTTGGATCTCTCTTTTGCGCATTCACGTAAAACTCACTGATTCTCTTTACGCCACGCGGTCTAGTCTAAGTGTTAATAGGATTTTCTGCTTCATTGCTACGGTCGTATAGTATTGACGATACTCCTTCTACTTCGCCTTTTACTAACCTGACGTATGATTAGATTTGAAATTGAATCTCCGAGTGTTAAGTCGTTTAAAAGAAAAAAAACACTACAAGTTAATTCGAAATGCGTAATGATCTTCTCGGGATTTTTCAAATTCAATTCATGAAGGTTACGAAATATTCAAGTTTATTTATATATGTAAAAATTATTTTTAGATCGATAAAAGTTACCCAAATACGGAATAAATTTTTTTTATTTATCAAATACTTGTTATTAAATGGTAATAAACATATACGCAGTTAATTGATGAGTATTCATAAAATTAATTAATCTCTCAGTTAATTAATAAACATTATTTTTATTTCAATTCAAACTTTATTTTTCTTATTTTTAAATAAAGAGTATTTTCGGATAATAGGATTTACTTTTGAGTAGATAATATTCTCTTGAAATTTGTTTAATGGATGAAAAATAATTTTTTATCGCTTAATAATGAATAACATTAACATATTTCGTGATCACATCGAAATAAATAATAATTCTATTCTTTATCTCTTAATAATATTAACGATTTAAGCCAGATTATTTATTTATTCATAGCTTGGAAATATTAAATATCAAATACGGTTATTCAATTTTCATATGGAAAATAATTTTGAACAGTTGGTATACACTCACAAGTAAACAGAGAAAAAATTCTTACTCATCTTAGTACAGTTTCTAGAGAATAGATATAGCATCTCAGTGTGCGAGATAACACTCACCTACAGGCACTGAGAGAGGAAGATTTTCGTTATACAATTTACATTTTGTTTTATTCATGAGTGAATCTTCATTTGTTCAATCATCAAATGTTACACACTAAACAGTTCAGGCTTCTGGTGTGTTTGTCAGAACTTCATTATTTACATTTCTAGGATTATCTTCAAGGAACTTCCTACATGTTAATGTACTCCCTAAAATTTATATTTGCTCATGAAAGCTATTTACATGTTTATAATAACACAAGTCTCATAGAAATTTTTCAACTGAGCAAATGAGTGTGTTGGTGTAAACTCAGATGATCCAAGTGAATTCACTTAATTGGACAATAAAGGGTAAACACTTTCTTAATCTTTGACCTGCAACCTCGGTACTGGTCTTCAGACCCTGGCCTACATTGGTACCAAGTGATCATATATTCACACGATGGGTGCGGCCTCTATTTTATTCCTTGTGTTTTTAACCCTAAAATTATCATTCCTCTGGACACTCTATATCATCTGGAGCATGATACTGCTTTGGTCAATAAATCTTAAATAATTGGAGTTGAGTATAATTTTTTACCTAAAGGTAAATACTCAAACGATCAGTTTTCAAAAAAATTAAAACATCATTAAACCCAGCAAATATTAGTTTATCTATAAAAACTTTTTCTTGTATTAACTGAGAGAATTCTATATATTTAGAAGCTGGTTGAAATTCTTTTTTCATCAAAGTAATTAAATGTATGCTTAAAAAATTCAATTGAATCTCCCACAAGTGACCCAACTTTCCATTTCTTTCATTTGTGTTTCTACTTGAATAAAAATTTCTTTTATAATTAAAATATTTCCTAAGTAAGCAAATGAAAAATTTCTCCATTCCAACCGGAAAATAGTATTATTCAAGATAAATTAATTATAACCCAAGATTACTCATGCAAAATCAACCTAAATTTAACCTTCCCTGTGTAAACGAAAATTTGAATTTTTTATTTATCTTTCTGTCTACTTTTAAAGTTATTTGATAATAGTCCTAGTATGTTCGTAAAACATATACTGAAAGCCTTGACTCGTTTACCCTAATAAGAAGCACCGAATAAGTGATCTATCGCCTATCAATTTACTCAACGTGTACATGAGTGTTCATACTGCAATTAAATATTGGATGTCTTGTCATGATTGGAAATTAACTCTCTAGATGTGAGAGACTACACTATTGATTGATCAAGTTCGACTTGCGAGTCATGCTCAATAATTAAGTCTAATTACTCGATATTGGTTGAGATTAATAAGATAAAATTTGATACTTACCAGCACGGAAGATCTCGCCACATCCATCGCAACGACTTGCAAACTGAGCATCGTAGCAATTGCCGCAGTAGATCTTGTCGACCTTGCTTCCGAACTGTTTGTCCACCAAGGAGACCCTGCACTTGTTGCAGAGGAAGCAGGCCTCGTGCCAGTGCTTGTCCTTGTAGGAGAGATCCTGCAGAGTACGTCAATACATGTAATCAATTATTCTGATCCTTACAATTTTTGAGGTATTTTATGGCCGAGCAATTTTTTTTACTTTCAAACATGCTTATTACGAGGGAAAACATTAAGTGAGGGTCTTTATGCTTTTTTCAGCATTATTTGTTCTCATAAAATGTTATTTTTTGAGTACAGCCCAGTTTTTAACATTCATCACTTACTTTTAATTTTTTTTCAAGTAAATTTGCTTGAGTTACAAGGATTTATTCTTCAAAAATATAAATATTTAAATTTTGATTAAAATTATTGAGAAAAATTCAATTGTTTATGATAAAATAAATATTTGACAAACTAAAATTAATGGACAAAAAGTAGAAGTTTTGATATTTAATAAAATTATTGGGTGGAGTGAAATATATGTAGCTAAAGTAATTTTTCTTCTCCAAGTTCAGAAACATCATTAATCAAAAGTATTCATGATCTAAAGTACTCTTGTGCTAGTAAATAAGACATGTACATGCTTTATGAAAATTTTTATAGTCTTTTGTAGCACACGACAATTTTCTGGCTCATAAACATGCGTATTGCGATTTAAATTTCAAAAACATGCAATATTAATTATTTTTTGGCTCATGTTGGAGAAGAAATATAGCAAGTGAATGTAACGAAGCAAGAGGGAATGTATAAAGCTGGCTGTAGATTCCATTGCGTCGGAGGGAGAAGACGAAAATAAGTAAGCGATAATGGGCAGCAACGATGCCTGCATCGGGTGCTTCTATTTCTAGGAGTGAGTAAGCCGACACCCGTGTACCGTATCTCCATCGTGAAAGATGGTGTGGTGCACATTTGCACGAACAAGTAATTATTGCGTTGGCACCAAGGGGTACCAGGTCAAAGTAACTCATTTGTTGGATCCTCATTTCCTCACCTTTGAGTCGATACCGATAATTTTGTTGCACTCTTCGCATCCGTTTGCAAAAACACTTTCGTAGCACTTGATGCAATACGGATGTTCGTCTCTTAGGACATAACGTTGTCCGGTCAAGGATTCGTCGCACTGCCAACAGCAAAAGTGACCGCTGTGCCAATCCTTGTTCATTGCTTTTGTGTACTCGCCACTGAAAATTAACTGCAACAAAAAATGCATTCATACAATGTTTTTGTCTTTCATCATGACTTTTTTTGATAAACAATTTTTTTCAACACAATTATTAGATATGAGTTGATAAATTTTTGAGTTGATGTAGAAAGATATTTCAGTGTATTTCGTCACGACTTATCAAGTCACTTTGGATATGTACCTTGGATGAGTGCTGTTGTATGTGCTGGCTGAATATTTAGACGTATCATATACATATGTATAAATCATGCTTAATGGAATGATATATTCCTCTTCGGCAACGAGCGAGAGGTGAAATTAGAGACTAGTTAGAATACAGACATTTGTTTGAATATAAAAGAAGACCAAACATGCTCCCGGGTGTCAACGTCAATTGGATTTCTTATCTCCAGAAGTAGATGAGACTGATCACGAAATGTATCAAGAAGACTTCGTTATCAATCTTCATAAATAAGTTCCCTCGACACAACTCTACGACACGTGAGTATGTTTTTGCAACCCTCAGGACGTAGTCACCCGGGATAGAGTGATAAAAAAGGGTAGAATAACATAATCGAAAAAACGCGGGCCTAGGTTTCAGCCAGCACATACTCTTCGATGGCGTGATGATTGTTCTGGGTGCTGTCGACCTCGGTGATCGTGACCTCCGCGTTCTGATCGTGGCTCTCCCTGCGTTTTGTCGTCTTCTTCACTTTGCGAACCTTTCGCTCTGTGGTCGTATACACTACACTGCTGTCTACGTCCGCCATTCTCGCTCTCCTGCAGTCTCGTACCGGCAATAATGTTCAACTCGGGACTCGTAAAGAGTACCGCGGTGTTAAAATTTGTTTGGCGAGAAAAGTGAAAGTGAAATAAAAATTAAACGTAGAAGCGCTCGTTATAGAAAGGACCGTGTCCCCTTCGAGTTTGCGAACTGACTGAAATCTAGGAACAGATCGCCTTGGGCGTCATCTCATATCGAGACTCTATTTTCGGCGTCCCGACGACTCCAGAGACCCCTCACGACCCCGCACCATTGCCCCTTCTCTGTGCTTTTACCGTTGGACCAAGTCCCACCACCGTTGTTGTCAGTCCACGTCCTCATCCATCGTCTCGTCGCCGTCGCCGTGGCGGCGATGCAAGTTGTGCCGGGTGCAACTTTTCTCCGCGGACATCTACACCACGATTATATTTTTCGCGGCTTCTTCGTCGCGTCATTCTCAAGAGCGCTTTAGATGTATTTTTGTACCTGACTCGATCATCACAAGTGGGTTCAGGAAACACCACGAATTCCAGTATCATTCGATGTAAAGAAAAAAAAATGAACATATATCATTTATCTGTCGATAATGATAAAATATTTTTTATTAATCCTGTAATATTGAAAGGAAGAAGCTGCTGTTTGGTTTAATAAATAATTTTTATCTCGCAACTACTCAAGTTACAGCAGTGTAAGTAGTATAAGAATCTAAAAATAACCGTGACAAAATGTGAAAAATAAAAATGTATAATACTACATCTTTTTTTACACATCATTGAACTGTATAGGAGGAAGGGAAAGCTTAAATAATGTACATCAACTATATCTTGATCCTTTGCCAAGCAGGTGGTTTTCAAACATCGCACCGGATTCACTAAACGAGGAAAGAAAGATGCTCAAAAGGTACAGAGGAAAGAGAACGAAAAAATTACATGAAAAGATGCGCTAGTAGGTCGGTATTTTCCACGCATCACCAATGTCTGCTACACCCACGTGAATTTGCTGAATAGATTGATTTTTTTTTTTTCATCTTATTGTGTTATTTATTATTATCTTCCTTACAGCTAAAAATGCTCCGCTGAATAATCAGTGATGTAACAAATGTCAGTATTGCTGTCTGATTTTGCTGGAAAATAATCAAAAAATGAAATTGACATTCTGTAACCTCATAAGAAGGCCACTGTCATTTTTGTCTTCTGAAATTTCCTCGCCCACGTAATTGAATTCTTATGAGTTTGATATTTTCGTCTCCCTTGCCAGACGAAAGAGTCGCCCGGCACTACAAATATGTTTACTGATTTAGGCATAAGATGCGAATATAATAAATGTATTTCAATGATTCTATCTTATTCAATAATTCATCATCAAGTTTTTCTAAAACAGATTCATTTTTGCAAAACAAGAATTCCTTGACGTCATTTATTAATTTTTGGCATAAATAATTATGAGTACTTCGTTGAATAAAATTCTAGCACGTAAACAATTACGAGAAATGATGACAAAAATAACTTGAAGACAGTTCATTGAGTCAACAAGTGTTAACAATGATCATTGTTGTTTAATAAAATGGTTTATTTATCAAAATAATGTGAAGAATGATTACGAAAGGTTACAATTGTTCCAAAATTTTCTGTCAGTTATTAAATTAGTATCACAGTAAGACAAACTTATTAGATGACTTTTTTTTTTCGTTCAAAGTAGCACGTGGCTTGTTATTTTATTCACTTCCCTACAACCAAAACGAATTATAAATATAATTGAGGAAGTTGTCATGTTAAATTCTAAGCAGTAAATATTTCTTTCCACAATTTTTCTCCAGACAACACTTTGTCGGCCTTTAGATCATTAAATAAAATAATCCTTTTGGCAGCTAAAAAAATTAACACTTAAATGAGAAAAAAAATAGACTTGAATGAAGATATAAAAAGAGCATATCTATTTCTAAAGATGAAAAAAAAAAATCTACCATATTTTATTTCTTTAAAAAAAAAAAATTGTCTAGATAATTGTTTTTGTGTTTTATTTAGCATTGAATTAATAAAGGAATATTTAATTTCATGAAAATTCGTTCATAAATAATATTTTCACAGTATGTTAAACATGACGCTGCATGAATTCTCTGCAACTAAACGCAAGACCTCTCTTAGTAGTTAAACAAAGAGAAGGTGATGGTGTTTTGTTTTAATTAGTATCACAAAAACTTCTGAAAACCACTACAATATAAATACTATCAAGATATTTTCATATTTAAATTTTATCCTGTCCATAAAACTGATGTAATTTTTTATTTTAGCATGAATAAAGTGAATTTCACTTCAGCTAGATTTTTTGTTACATGAGAACTATGCTTGTTAAGGGTGAAACAGTATCAATGTCTTTTTTGAGTGATTCAGACAAGATATCGTGCCAACTAGTGAACAAAATATTCCGTGCGTCATCTTGTAAAAATATTATTGGTGAGCAAGTCTTGATGAAAATTTGCTTGTTTTTAGTTCTATTTTACTCTACAACCTAATTCTTCATTTTGTAGCAAGCAATAATCATGAGGGTATAGTTTTTTTTTATTAATGATCAATGAAGTGTGTATAGAAATGGGGAAATAATCAAAAAGAAATGAAAGTTTACCCAAAAAGCTTGATTTGCTTCAACATTAGGTATGCAGTATTCGATTGGACCAGATTGAGAAGAACTATTATCTTCAGCATCTAGAAATTCTTCATCAAGAGAGTCTTCTTCACTTCCTTGAGCGTTTAAGTATCGTAAACTATTCTGAGGAGTTGCTAACTCTACTCTCGAATATTCGTCGTTCGATAGTTTGTTGTTATTACTAAGGCTTATCAGTTCTTGTTGTAAGCCATTGTAATCAATAAATTCTTTATTTATGTTATGATCATCAAGAGACCTTGATTTAGGGAAACGCTTGGTGATGAACGATTTCTTGCCATTTTTAATACTAGAATCTTTTTTGCTCTCAGAACGTACATTTTTAAATACATCAAGATCAAATTCAAAGTTGGTTTGTACTTGAACTGAAACACTCGATCGGCTGGCGGAGATAGATCTCTCGCTGTCGGTGGGTGAAGTGTTAGTCCATTCATCGCGGAAAGACTCGCTGCTCGTAGTTTGTATAGAGATATCAGACTTTCTTCGTTCTGGTTCTCTCTGACGTTTTGACTTCTTTACAGATAAATTCTCAGCTGATTTACTGACCTCAGCATTTCTTGACTTTAGTCTTGTCGGTTTCCTTAATATACTACTTCCTCTAATTGTTTTGTTTCTTTTCTGAATTGAATGAGAAATTGGACTCGTTCCTCTTTCACCAGATTTTCGTTCAGAAACTGACAAGCCAATGTTTTCATTTAATTCATCTTGAAGACATGCAGAACTGCTTGCTGAATGATTTCCAGAGGTAGATTCAATTCTCTCAATATTCACTTTCTTCTCCAAATCGTCAAAAAATCCAGAGCTTTCTCCTGAATAATGCGATAAAGGAGAATGATTCTGTCCCGTAACAACGACATGAATATTTTTAAAATGCTCCCTAGTTGGCAATTCATTGCCAGAATCATTATCAAAGCCTGTACCTACATCAGTAGATTCAGAATCTGAGTTGGAATATTTTTGGGAATATGATAGTGGGATGGGTTTAATAATTTTTGGATGATAAACTTGTTGAACATGTTTTTCATTAGGTTCAAATATCTCTTCAATAACCAGTTGATCCTCTGATTGTTCATCATCAGCTTCAAAGTGGTGCATTAGGATCATAGATATCTTATCATCCTTAGTGACATCATAAATTTCTCCCCATCTCTCAGACTCCTCAGCATCCTTTTCGATCAGCTCAAAATCCAGACTAAACCTGGAATCTGTTCTCGACATACTTCGAAGGTCTTGACTACTAAAATCGGATAAAGTGCTTCCATCTCCATAACCATGTGACCTCAACTCACTCCTGACCCGCAGACTGTACTCGTGAAGATTTTCAAGTTTACTCCGCGCGCTTCGAGGAATTTTAATATCACTGGAGTGGCTGATATCACAAATAGAGTCATGAAAACTAGGATTTTCAACAACTGGACTGTGATACGAGAGACATGATGGCGCAGGGGATAGTTTTACATCATCAGTAACATGTTTCAAACAAGCTAAAAGCTCAATTGCACCCACGCAACCCACAAGAATCGATAACAGTAGCCCCATTTTGTGTTCATTACCAGTTATCACCTAATTGAAGATGTAACGTGTTGCACGTGTTTTTCTGAGTCTGCACATGATCGACGGTTCATTTCCAAAATATGGCACGTTGTCACAAATGCTTGCGGGTTGCGCAACGGGTACACCCACACTCAGTGTGCGCTGTTGGAAAATTTGCCACGTTCACGCTCATCCCGCATTCGCAGCAGCGTCACCTGCCTGGCTTGCAACCATTTCCGCTTATCAAATCTGCACAATCTTATTCGCTTATCGTTCGACAGAGTTACCCACGCCCGCCGGATGTCAGACCGTGCACTACTGTTTTATTTTATCCGATGCAAAGCGAACTCCCTCAGTTAGTTCAACGTCATCTGAATGTACATCTCTATCTATTGCTGTCTAACGCATTGAAGTATCCCGGGGCTAAACTCTAAAGTTAGAATGTCCCTGAACATTTAAGCTTCGTCCTTAAAACATAACCAATCGATGATTCCTCTGCTAATTAATGACTGACTTTGGCCAACTTCTTACATTCTGGCTCATGTGGATGACAATCTATTCAACGCTCTTTCTACTGCAGACACTTAATATAAGTGCGATATCATGATTATTATCGCTAGACTAGTGTTGAAAGATAACTTGATGATAGAGTGAAGCTGTGGAATGCTTGAGAAATTTTTTTCTAGCTTTTTCTTTCATCAAGGTGATGATTTATTTCATGTAATAAAATATGTTATCGATTGGACAATTTATTATTCACAGTTGATTATTAAATTGAATATCGAATTTCTGGTTTATTTTGCAATGCGAAGTACGGACGCATATGTTGAAAAGATCAGTCGAGACAGACGATAGATCTTATTTTGGTTACCTCATCGGTTACAAGCCAACGTCAGGAGATCATCATCCATATGTTTTGCGCGCGGTACGCAACTTTGGCTCCCTGCCAGACATCGAAAATTCAGTATACTTACAAACCCTATCAAACTCTTGATATGAATTATATTTAAAACCACTCATTGGTCATCACCATTAAAGAATTGACGGCTGTTAGTAAATCTTAGTGTGTAAATTAACAAAAACAACATTTTAATGGTTATGTGTATTTTTATATTTGTTTATTCATCACGTGATGAATACTTCCGTTTAACACAGGCCCAAGTTGTGGGCTTTGCTTAAATTTTAGTCGATAATTTTCAAGCTTAAATGAAGAAACGGCTCGAGAACGAGTGAGGAATTTAGCGATCGAGACTTCTGAAGTATCTTTTAAAAATAAATATTCTCTTTGAACGTTTTATGATGATCCGAATGCTTGATTTACTATTTCTTCCTACATTCCTCAAAATTTTTGATGTATTAAATATGTTTAAATTTAAACTAGACCTGAATATTTCATTTCATTTTTGTTGGAATTCATTTAATTTTAGAACTATCCAAATTAGAAATTTTTTTATTGGTTAGGATCCTAGATTTTATTCGATAAAATTATTTGCATAATTTGATCAATAAACATCATAAAACGTCATGATTAATCAATTTGAAAATTGTTTATCAAATTTGTATCAACTATTGATTTTAGGTGAATTCATTGGAAGATAATGAAAATTCATTTAACAAATTTCAGGTTCATTCGATGGAGTCGATTGAATATAAAACTTTTAATAAAGTGTTTTGACAGTTAAATAAAATTTTTTGACAATTATTATTATCTATGACAGTTATAGTATTTTCAATCTGTTCGAAACATATTTTGTTTACCTAATTTCTTTGATAAATTTATATAGATGCAGTAAAAAAACATTTCGAGATATCCAAACAGACCTAAAAATGTTAGCTTTCAATTAAAAATAAATCTTTCATTAGAATAAAATATTTATAAAAATTGTTATACATTTGGCCCATAACGTGAAAATAACAATTCAATAAAAATATTTAAATAAAGAAGAAAATCGTTCATAACTTGTTTCAATAATAAAAAGAAATTGTTTATAATCTTAATCGATTACGATAGTAGTTTAAGTCTTTTTAAAAAGATTAATTTGTTTATCCAATTTCCACCTACCATTCTGAAAATATTCCCAGCCTAAGAATATCATTTAAACTCTATTTTTACTTTCTTCAATGAGCGCATCGATAAAATGAAAATGTTCACATCAAAGTTATCGAACCTCTAATAAATTATGAGAGAGCTATAATATATAGATAATTAGTCAATTTAATCGGTTCGTTTTCATTAGCGCGTGGAGACGATATACTGGAGGAAAACGGAACAATGCCAGAGCTATTTTGGTCGATGATTGAATCGGCCACGGTCGACGAGGATAAGCAAAGAGAGAAAGAGAAGTAGTTAGTTCAATCCATCGAAAATGATGATTAAACTAACTGAGAACTCATTTATTTTAGAGTAATCAACAGCAAATGTATTTTAGAGCTAAAAAAAAAACGATAAAAATCCTAGCATCTAATGTATTAAAAGGCGGGGAAACAAATATAAATAATTGAATCATTGAGAAGCGTTGAGTTGTTGGCATTGAAGAATGGTCAAGAGCAAGAACCGTGTCAGAATGCATGGCTCGCGGGAGTTGCAACCCTTCGCACGCTCTAAGACACACGTAGTGTATGCGTCTGCTATTCGTATTGCTTCCATCGAGACTCGATTATTTCCGTACCATGAGCCACATCCGACCCACTTCCATCCATTCATCTTCTAGCAGAAAAGCACTGCATTTTATCCACAAAAATTCATTCGATTCCACATTGGAATCTCGAATCTCCATCTTCTATTCGTTTATTTGAAAAGTTGCTGCTTTTCTTTCTTCTTCTTTGCAAAATCAATATAAACTCTGAAATTGGAGAATTCATTTTAACCTATGACTTATCTTGAGGTGAACAGGCAGATGTAATTTTCTTCAACACGTCAAGCCAAAGATAATTATCGAATCCTGGTACGACCGTTACCATGTCAAGGCTAAAAACGCAAATCGAAAAGAGGACGAGTACTGATGGTCACGCGTGCAAAATTTCTTTCACTAAGTATTTAAATAATCACCAAAGTCTTATAAATCAGATGAAAAATTTTTGGGAGTTACATCAAGAAAGAATAACGACTACTAGTTTGAGGAAAGAATCGTAAAAATGACATAGAACAAAAAGACATGATTTCAGAGTGAGTTATTCACATCCTGTTCACTATTAAATTGCACTGGATATTTTCTTCGTGGCGTATACGCGCTAGAAATAGACAACGATTTTGTGAAATTCAGTAGTGACTTGTACACGTATAAAAGCTTGTCCAACTGATTCTTGGCGCAGATAGTTCAACTATCAAACCAGACGACTGATGGCTTTTTAATCGTAGAGAAAATTGGCATTTATCAACATTCATTCAGATCATTTTTCGGGGCATTTGAAAGCTTAACTGCTATGTAATAAATAAGTCATTGCTTCAATTTTTGAAGCTTCAAATGAGAAGCATTTTTGGAAACTTACCAAATAAATTGATAGATGAATAAGAATGGTAAGAATTAATGAAGAAAGTTGATGAATAAATATTGGAAGTAAAACTTTCTATTATACCCGACTTTGCGATTAACGTTCGAGTTTCGGTGACTGACTAATAAAAGCCAAAGGAGGACTCTGGACGCAAAAGGCGCGGCCAATGTGGTAGGAAATGGGGAATCAAAATAGATTGCGCGAATCGGCAATCTTGAGTTATGTTTCATATAATTTTCGATTGGATATAAACCAAATCTAACTAAAATTAATATTGAGTTGGGTGAACTTCTCCTTGAATATTAATAATTCAAATTCATTCCCATCTTCTCAAATCAGCTATAAAACACTGGCAAAAGAACCAAATTAAACTTCTAGCAGACATTTATCAAATGTGAATGAAAATCATTTTTGCTTCATAATCATAAAATGGTTGAATGTCATTTAAATAATTGATCTGATAGAAAAAAAAGGTCATAATGTTGAAGGAAATCATGTAGATATGTTTTTCATGTTGTAAGAATAATTAATTGAGAGGTGTATACACTCTTTAGCAACTCAAAAGGATGATAAATGCACTATCATAAAATACATTGTTTTTATGTCAAAAGATCATAACATGATTCTAATTGCGTAGTCATATAAGAATGATGAGGAACTAGATATTTCGTCTTTTCTGTTGCTCTCTCGACCTCGCTATTTTCGTCCATCTAAATAAAGTCGAATGTGGCCTAGTTACTGGTCTCGATGACGAAGACAACACTTCTCGACATTGCTTTATTACATACGCAATCTGTTGATATTTTAGGAGACTCACGTAAACTTTTCCATTATCTGGCTTAGAATCGGAAAATTTCTCGCTTATATAATTAACTCATCAACAAATATTTCATACAACAATTAGAAACAGCTTAGCTTTGTTCCTAAGTTCACTGAATCTCATTCAGCATCAGTCACAAAGAAATCTTCTATTTTATTTCTTTAACTGATTAATTACTATTAAATTTCTTTTTCCTTGGAGATAAAGTATTAAATTTATTCATGAATTTATTTAATTAATCTTCAGATAAGTTTTTTGGTACTGTAGTTGAAGTTGTTTTTAAATTAAAATAGAATCAGATGAATAGTCGGTAAGCAAACTTGTAGCAGATAAAGACGACAACATCCAGCAAATCAGTTTGTATTCAGCTGACCTCTACACAATTTACTGGCGACTATCTTGATGCTTGGGTCGATAATACGAGTTCTACTTTATTCACTAAAATTTTGAATTGAATAAAATATACGACTTACCTCATCACATGCAGCACATCTAGGCATTAATTTCTCAGCATAATGCCTCTCACAGTATAATGCATCATCATGAACGCAATAAGCTAAATCTACTAGCAATTCTCTGCATTGTGTACACTGGAAACAGGAAGGATGATAAAGAATACCCAGTTTACTTGCCATCACAGCAAGACTTCCGTATTTTAAAGGCTCATGGCAAACTCCACATTCCTAAAATCATTAATATTATTTCAATTGTTATGTCATATTAATTGAGAGAGATTTCATTATTTTTTAAAATAAATTCTCTCAGGAAATAATTAATGCAATGGGTTGGATAAACAAAAATAATTGTTTTAAAGTTTTTAACTCATTTTAAAATAAGCTATTGAAAAAAATGATTTGAATTAACATTCTTATGGGAATAGAAAATAATTTCAATGTTTTCGAAAGGGTAAATATATTTAGAGTATGAATTAGTCCTTTCTAAAATAACCAACCCAACATCAGTGAGCACTTCCATTAAGGAATTTATTTATTCCAAAAATAACTTTCTCTCCAAGCCGCCTATTAAGATATACAGAAAAATTTTTCTTACGTGGCCTCTTTCAAGGACTTCCTGAACACTACCAATGTCTAGGGCAATTTCATTGCGAGCGGCCATAAAATCGTCAGCACTCGCATAATGTCGGGAATCCAGATGACGACAGTAAGCTCGAGCTAAGTCTTGTTTAGGCAATTGGGTTGCTAGTTGCCGGTCTCGATGACGTTCACCAGGAGTACCCAGTCGTGGAACAGATATTTCCGGAAGCATTGAAAAATACTCCTCCACCTGCCAAGTAAAGAGCAATGATTATTCATTTATCGCTACGTTCAATCGCACATTAAGATATATTATTTGGCAAAGAGCCCGTGGTATGGACCAGATGCAGACACTTGAATCAATTGGAAAGTGTGATCGTAAATTTTTATGCTTACGAGTATATCGCGTCGTTAAAAACACAGATGGTGGTCTTTAATGAAAAATTATGTATATCATGCTTGATGGAAACATTGCTAAATGCATTGTTACAAATGGTCAATTACCAGCAGATTTTAGAGAATGTTGAAAATTTGGGAACTCAGCCAAAAAAAAGTCAGTGCAGTTAAACGAAAATTGTTATAATGACAGATATTTGTATGTTGCATAATTTCACTTTTGATAATGAACATAACATGAGCAGTCTATTAGTTGCGGTTTTGCATTCTACGCTTCGGTCGAGTAACTATTATTCGTCACCTCAGTCAAGCATATCAGTTATAATCGCCTAAGCTTTTGAAGCTTTATTTAAACATTCATCATCTCAAACGTAATGTGTTTAAACTGTCAGTTGACTACTTTCTGTGATCACTGCCACGTGTTCTATGCGTCCTAGATTAAAAAATTCTTCACAGACAGATTGTGTAATAAGCTTTTTAAACACGTACCGAAAAAAAAATAATATAAACAATTTTCATTATATAAATTGCTTAGAAGCTATTTTTTCATCAAGTAATGAGAAAATTGTTTTATCTTTTCGCGGTAGTGATTACTTATTTTCTTAATAATTCCCTTTTCTATGAGTCTTTGGTGATAAACTTTATAAGTAGAACGAATTACTGTGAATGTTGAAAGATTGAAAAATATTTTCGTGACGATAAACATTTTTTTTTCTTTTTAAATAAAAACGTTTAATTAAATGAATGCAATATTACCTTATGTGGAGGAAGTCCCGGTGGGGCCCAAGCAAGTCCTTTTTCTCTAGGATCAAATGCAACATAGTTATTCGGATCTTCACCTTTTAGGCCTAATCTCGCTCTCACAGACACCCATTCTTCATGACAAACATCGTGTACTTCCTTCGGACATTTACAACTCGTGCAATTTTTCCTGCAAAACAAAAATTTTCATCAATAAAAATTAGATTTTAACTTCAAAAATGAAACAAACTCGTAACTTGTAACGTAAAGTATTCATATAGGTAACAGTAAATACCAATATTTTGTGCATAAGCTGATAAGAAAATGATAAATATTTGCAGTACCAACATAATTTTTATTGAGCACTACGATACACTCGATGCCTTTGAATGACTCATAAAACTTTATTACTTCTATAAACCATGATTAAATTTTCTTACATATAAAAATATCACACAAAGCATGCAATCCATGGATCTTATCGTCATTCAAATTATTGATCAGCTAATATATACGACAGAAAAAAATAATTTTATCATATTCTCGATTTCCCCTGATGAAATTTCTCTTAAGCTCTAATGTATACGGATAAGCAAATGGTTTCAATCGTTATCATCAATCATACAATCAATGGAATGGATTTATGTTATTGCTTTCTTTCTCCACACCCTCCAGGACGTCAACTTCAAGGCTAGAAAATTCCAGCATTAAAAAATATCTTCATTTCCAATTTTCCCACAGACATTTATTCCTTGACTTTATTCAAATATGATTAATTTACGAGCTTTATCTGTCACATCATTTAACTAAAAGACTAGAAATTTATCATCATGTAAAATTATTCCTCCAAATATAATTTAATTTTTTATGGATCTTAAAATAGCATAAATGTCTCATAACATTTTATCCAAAATGTTGATATAGCTAAAAAGATGAAATGTTAATTTAAAAATAAACATTTAACCTTTCTTGACAATTGCAATCACGGTATTCATATATAAAAAAAACATTAAAATGTGTGTACTGAGAAATGTTAATTGTCCCTAGTCGCTCGTTAGGTGCAATTTCACACACCATTGTACCAGAATGGTACATTCAATGAGAACACGTCGAGAAATAAGGCGAGGAATAAATGTCGTCAACACCCCATTGAGTGAGACAACGCAATACAGTGATATTCATACCACCAGTTAAAAAGCTTCAAGAAACAACATATTGAAAAACTCACAGCCCTTGAAAAGAAAGAGCTCTCATTAAGACAAAAAAGTACGTCGGTTAAGATTAAAAGCTCTCATTAAAATTCTCGTTTTATTAAAAAGAAAAAAAAGGCGTCAAATAGAGAAACCGTTAATTTGCTAGTAAGTATATTAGTCAAGCTGATGCATAGAACCGTTAGCACAAGGAAACGACTACGCCCTCCGTGATAATTAACGAGGGTAATCCGATTTGCGTATATAGAACAGAGAGAGACTCTTCTTTTTTATTCAAGTGTCATGCTTCTTTTATTACTTTGAAAAATTCCTCTGCAAGTTTAAGTAAACTGCTCTGAGTCTGCGAATTCTAATGAGATGAAAGCTGTAATTATTTTTATATTTCAAATTGTAAATGCCGATTGTTAATTTATTTAAAACCTTAAAAGTTGAGTTGGTTAATCCAATTAATTTCAAAAAGAAGATGATTTTATGAATATTCATTTGTTCTTTTTTTACTTTTTTTAATTAAAAATGTATGTGAAGCTTTCAGTGCAATTAAATTTAAACTTCATCAAATTGAAATAAAGATGACTTTTTTTTCTGATTCTACGATAAATTAACTTGAAAATGAAATACTAAGAAATAAATCAATATTCCAGTAAAACTGTTGGAGTAAAAATAAAACAGTGCGTCAATATTTCTTGTTTAATTTCATATTTAACCAGTATGTCATCAATAATTAAGCTTGGGTCATTAAAATGCTAATATCAAAATACATAATTCATCAAAAACTGCAAAAAATAAAAAAAAAATATGCTCTATAACCAGTTAACTACAACATTTGCTTCACTTTCCAAAGAACAAAGTTAAACACACAAGCCAGAAATTGGCTTCGTGACTTGTTGCATTACCTAACGATGAGTTCGAAGAGTTCAAACTGATCGAAGACCTTACAGTAGAGATGGAGAACTCTTACGCAAGCCCATTTCATTCCTGGCCAAGGTGCAAGGCTAAGATCCAAACCATCCTCCAGTGGACATTTACGAATAGTCAGGTCTCTCTTCAACTCTGGTGCACCAGATATAGTTGGAAATCTATTCTTCCTGTCCAACATAGGATTTCTCCTTGTGCGTGGAAGGTCATCAGTAGATCCGGCCCCGTATTTGATCTCCGCACCAGACAAGGTCGGATACCTTTCTCGGCGATCCAACGAGGCGGTTTTCCTGTAAAAGTCCTTTTCAGGCACAGAAGGACACCTGGTGCGCATTGAGTCGTGACTCGAGGGCGGACTCATCGGTCGCTTCTTCGGTTCTGGAATTTTTACGCGTATTCCCTGCGGTTCTCCTCCAGGCGTGGCCACGCATGATACTCTGACTTCCACTTTAGGAACATCGTGGCCACCCTGTCCTTTCGGACTCATTCTACTCGGTGATCCTGCTAGTAAAACCGGCGTCGTATGACGCCGCTGTAGTCGGTCGTTCAGTGTGTTTAGCTCTTAGATTTCATCATAGTCACGACACTTCCGTATTCATCATTAAATTCCAACGGCTTCCAGATCCACATTTCTCTAATAGTCATGATTCATTCCCACAGCAAGCATGGCAATTAACATCAGAATGATGAATTTCCCCGAGATCTCACTGTGCATACAAGATATTCAAGGCACTAACTGTTTTATGATTATGTAAAAATAGAAAAACTATGTAAGTGTCAATCGGTTTCTTTCCCCTGTGACACGCCTTAATAACGACCCCACAATAATAAGAATGACAATAACAGTCGATTAAAGACAATTCAAGAAAAAATTATAGAGTCTTAACTGGAACACCCTGAGCTTTTCCTCATCAGGGTTAAGTCAATAAAATTAAAGTGCTTTACGTTGTTCACAAGATATTATCACGATAAATCTGATACGAAGGATGGAGAAAAGCCGTTGTGGAGCGTAAATGATGCAATGTACTTTGTATACTCAATAAATATAGATAACGTTTATATTTGGCTAATCAGCATGCACTAAAAATATATCCAGCCGTAAAGAAGTCGAGTTTATCTGAGAATTAAGCAAACCCTGGGTATTCTTGTTTTGCAACAAATGACAATAATCTTTACATGAACTCAATGACTTTTGATGATGCGTTGAAAACGCGCAGGTGTTATCGAAGGAGGCCACGGTACCTCCTACACAAGAGCCTATCTCCCGGCGACGTGAAGGCGGATAGGTAGCTCAGCTAATGGCTATTAATTAGATAAATGCTTGCTGTTTATGAAGACTTGATGATAATCATCATCTAAAATAGTAGTATCAAACTATTCTATTTGTTTTTTTTTTCAAGACCATGCAATTAGTAAACAATCAACTCTGATCACTTAAATGCAATTTCCCCCATAAATTACACCTGTCACAATTTCACCAAAAAAGATCCACTATGTCAATAGAGTTTTTGTGTAAAAATTTATTCAAATAATCACTGATGATTTTTTGTTGGGTTTATTAATGCCACGAGTTGGCGATTGAACGGAGAGTGAGTGAGTCTTGATAATTGATGAATACGAGTGGTGAAAAAATTTAAATGCCTTTGACAACAGTGTCAGATGCCGAACGACAGTGCATTCGCAGAAGGGGCATATTTCAAACTGGCGCCACGAGGTCCGTTGAGGCAACAACGTAGGTAGGTATTACCTATACACGCGGAAAATGTGCTACGTGTGTTTAAGAAAGAGATGCGCACGCGCGAGACTCGGTGTCATCCACATGAGACTTGACGAAAGCTTTTCTTTGGCTTCCCCTTCTTATTGAGGTCTTTAAATACTGTCCAAACAATCTATATCACAGTTAAACTGACTTCTCACTGATATCACACAAAAACTTGTTTTCGTTTCAAATAAAAATCGTGGCCTGATACACTTGATAAAGAATAAAAATTTTTTATCATCATTTAAGAGACGCATAAAAGATTGAGGAAGTGTTTGGAGTAAATATAATTCTAGTAGTAACAGACCGACTGAACAGACGCGTGTGATTCTCTTCAATTAGCAGACTTGATGCAAGTTTGAAATACGCACTAAGTGCATTAATTTAGTCGAGTTAGCAGTTTGATATATTTTTGTATTGATACGGGAATTTTGAAAGTTTGCAAATAAAGGAGTTATCAACGAAAATAATGACGAAATTTAGGATTGCAATAAAGGAAAAAAAAAATTCAAGTAATGTAAAGTAACCGTGAAAATTCAAGTGTCATCAAGACACATAAAGTAATGTCTGTACTTCTCTAATTTCATTAGTGAGATGAACATGAGCAATGTCATACTGGCCTTGGTTCTCTTCCCGTTTAACTACACAACTTTTACGTAAGACTGTACGCAAACGTACTAATAGCTACGTCAAAAGCACTGGCAAAATACAGAAAAGCTCATCGGAAAAGCGATGCAGCATAGCGGGAATTGTGACTAAGAGTGACAGCTATTTGGCAGTTTGCTAAATCTTCATTTCCTGTTGTAGATAGTCTTAAAGTTTAATCAAATTTTAGTAAATGAATATTTGCATTATTTAATGAACCTTTTTGTTATGTGCAGTATTTTTTGTGCTTGTTAGAGCGTCTTTAAAAAGATACAAGAGTCAGACAAGCTTAGTATCTCATCACTAAAAATCCCTAAATCTGTCTAGTACTGTAATCTCATGAGTCACTCTGCAAATTCTCTTTATTTCTTTTTAAGCTATTGAATTACTACGCCAACTTGACACTGAAATCTTCAGCTTATACGCAGGCAAGTTGGCTCGTGTTCCTTAATGAAAGGAAAAGCACATGTGTCTTGATGTCTAATGTAACTGTAAACATACAGTTTATTTACGAAAAATAATTACGTGCTTTCAATCATCCCGTCGTGATCGATGAGTCTAGATTATTCTGAGCTTTCATTTATTTATAGGATATCCGTTATAAGTCGAAATGGCTCATAAAGTTTCCACGGTTTGGGCGTGATTTCAAGTTTTTGCAGTTACGTTTATAATTTATGAGAAAGTTTAAGGAGTTATGTATCATTTTTCTCTTGCTATATTACTGCACAGGACTAATCACGAGACGTAAAAAAAAATTTCGGTGACAAAAAATGACATTATTAAACTGTAAATTTGTAGTCGATTTATAACGAGTAAATCCAGATGTCCTCATGCTGCTACTTTCGCGTTTCTTTATACAATATGCTGTCGTTATAAATACCCTAAGAACATTTCTGTCGGTGTATAATAATTTATTGTACATGTACTAATGATTTTTAATGGTATTGAGAGTTTTAATTTATAAAATTATTTTTAAAACAAATAGCTCGTAAAAATTTTTTTCTGTTTATGGTATAGTGAGAATATTTCTAAGTTAAGATTGTTGTGGCAATTGGGATAATGACGTTTTATAGCGTAATTGTGGAAAAATTTTGCATAGAAAATATAAACAAATTAACGAGTAGAATGTGAGAATATGTAATTGAATAAGATGGAATAAAAAAATTATCTAATCTTCTTGAGAACAAACATTTAAATTTTTCAACGATCATTCAAATTTATTAGCAATATATTCGTTTGTGTTATTTCAAACTTTATCTATTTATTTTTTTTTTTATAATCCCTGTGCAAAATTAATCTTATTTTCGTTCTCAGTTATAAATTCAAAGTAGTTTGATTTTGTTTAAAATATCATATCATTCAGTAATAAATTATGAATTTAACTTTAAAAAATACAACATTTTATACTTATTGCTAAACTTCTTAGAATAAAAATTCCTTTGAAATTTTTTTGTTATCTAGGATAGCTTGTTTCTGATAAATAACAATAATTATTGTTCTCTATTTTATACAAGTATTTATTCATGATTACGAAGTCAAGAAAAATTTATTTAATCATTATAATTATAAAAAATTCTTATAATTTAACGAAAGTATGTAAAAAAAAATTATTTCCAATCAGAATAAATTCTTCTTCACTCCTTTGATAATTAAACAATGCAACTTTGTCAGAGGAGAGTAATGAATAATTACGTGAGTACAAAAAAGTGATAATTATAGTTGAAAAACATAACATTATATTTAAATGAATCATTAACGCAATGTTATATCCTTGAACTGTTGCTGCGATTACTGTCTTAAGAGATAAGTAACTAATGTAATCCTTTTTGCATCGACCAAAGATATTCATCATTTTCGAGTAGAGAGACAGCCAACAAAATAAACTACTAAGAGATAATGATTATAAATATTTTTTTCCGAAAAAGGAAAAAAAAAAAATCTTACTCATGAGATCCGCCTGCATCTTCGTAGAGATAATGATTGCATAAACTGTCATCTGAAGTCAATGAATTTTGATGACTAATGGGAGGCGTCGTATCGAAAAGAGAAACACCACTTTCTCGAGCTGATGGAGTTCTCCTGACGCCACGTCGTCTCACGGCGAAATTTCGTTCACGAGATGGAAAACGCGGTGTTTTTTTCTTCTCCTCTGTCACTTCTTTCACTGATAGACGATCGTCCCAGACCATTTTGAATGATTTATTTCACATACACACAAACCACGAGATCTTAGACAATGCAGTAAGTAGAACTAATGCGTTCGATAGCCAAGACTAATACTGACCGCGAACCGTTGCAGTGAACTTTGTCAATATAATCCAGTAAATTAAATTGTGACAAACCGGTTAGTATAGATAATACGCTTTGTATTTTATTCACATGTTTTGTTACTTAATAAAAAATTTTATCAACAATAATAGTAATTTAATAGTGAAATCACTCAGACCGGTATTATTTTATCAAGAAACACACCAATATTTTTAAAAAACAAATAAATTTACAGTCAAAAATTTAACAATATTAATTTAGAAAAATTGTAAAAAGAGAAAATAATTTTTTTACTTAGTTTTCATTGGGAGAAATGAAACAGAAATAAATCTTGTTGAAACAAGTTCTCGACACAAATTAAAAGCTTCTCTATAAAATAAAGATAGATTAAATTAGCAACTTCATATCAGATAAACCCTCCAACAAATATATAATTGGTCTGGAGTTATCAGTACGATGATCGAGACGTCATGAGAGTCACTCAAATCACTGGCCAACTACCGATTACGTGAACACTACACTTCAATCTAACTCTTCACAACGAGTTCGCATTTGAACTGACGCGTCCTTCCAGCTGCAGCTCACTGCGTTCCACTCGAAGAATAAGTAGAAAACGACAACGTAAAAAAAAAGGCTCTTTAACTGCAAAGAACTGACCTTCGTACGACGTTTTTCATTACATGCTATTGTCCTAACCAATCTCCATTCGTGCAATGACACGCAGATGCATTGTGTGCACCACTGCAATCGAAAAGAAAATGAATAAAATGAAGAATGAAGAATGACGTATATAAGTCTTAAAAATACTTTCACTTGCAGCAGTAGTTGACGAGTTAAATAACCCATCACTTTCGCTTTGACACAAAAATCTTGATTGGAAGTGAGTCCTCATGTGTTTACTTTATCACGCGTCACTATTAATAATAATAACGGTGAAATAAATAATTATCTTATCTTCGAGATACTCGAGAGCTCATTGTCCAAGTGACAGAATAGTTGTCATCCTGTCGATATAGAAACTGAATTTAAACCACCAGAAAATCGCACCACCATTTCATACTCTCTCTTTCGTTAGTTTTATTTATTTTATGAATGACAAGGACATCTACATTTATTAATTATTTACATGACGTTTGTCAGAATGTCAGTATATTGAGCTCGACAGCTGGGAAACAGACGTTCTTAAACGTCACAATTGCCAATAAGTGTTCATATATGTATTGAAATATATACACCAAGTATTACACAAGGTATTCCAGTCGAATTTTTCAAAAATTATTCAATACTTGATCATGTTTGTTTTCTTTTTTTTTCCAGATTGAAAGAAGCATTTCAGTTGGATGAACTGATGAAATATTAGTTTGTACGCAAGGCTTCAATTTATGTCATTTGAAATATATTTTTAATTGGATAGATGATGAAAGTGGGATCGTAAATTACATTAAGAGCCCCGATTTTTCTGAACAAATAAAATACTTATGATGCAAACAGTACATCTTATTTTCTCTTATAAATCACTACCTAAATCAAAATGTTTTATTTGTAATAAATATTAATAATTTAAAAAAATTAAATTACATATGATAAAATAAAATTCATTTAATCAGTAAATATTTGAGGAAAAGTTTTTAGTTGTTTAATTATCTAAATAATAAACAATTGTAATAATGTGAATCATAATCAATAATAATAATTGGTTAATTGTCTATAATTAATAATAATCATCAATAAACAAAAATTTTTTCTCCGAAGAGAAAGATGAGAAGAACCTTGACTCACCCTGTCTGATCAATCGTCAATTGATTTTTTTTTTCGCTTTCATCAGAATCGTAAGCGTTCCCAGGGTTATGGACAATCGCAGTGTGTTCGCGTATTTCCCATCTGGTGCCCATCGTTCATTCAAGTATGTTGATGTACTTGAGATCACGTTTATATACAATTTTACTCACTAAAGACCGATAAATACAAGACAATGAACAACGTGATGACTAGAATTTTAAATGAGAAACCGCAAAAACAAACCAAAGATCTTGATGATCAGAAAGTCGTTACTTTGGTGAATGGTTAGATAGATTCGATAGAAAGATCCACACCCACCAAACTTGTTTTATCGTCGCGTTATAAGCATCCGGGGACTCGTGCGATAGCGCGCTTTGGGTGTATGATCACATTCTAAATATAGCCGGACATTAAAATCACGCCTAAGTCCCCTTCGCGATGATGAGAAACGATCAAGCGAATACATTGACAAGTTCAGAGAACGCGGTCTTTGATCTACTCACGACACTCTATACTCATTTTTCTATGTCGTATGTGATTGTAGAGTACGTTAACATGACTTGATGTTGAACAAATCGGCTATGCGCCGCAACTGATTATTACCAGCGCGTCGACAATGTCAAGCAAATCTTATCTAGAAATTTTGCGGTCACATACTGTAGCAAATGCTGAAATATGATAAAAATTAAGTGTGCAAGAAATTTCAGCTATTTTTTAAAGCAAAGTCTTTTTGAATTTCTCGTAAATTGTTATGTTCAAAGGAAAATATTATTACTCTGTTTAATCATCTTTACTGTAAATTTTACTTTTCTCTTATTTACAAGCACAATAATTTTATTCACCAGAGTGTAGCTTTCAAGGTTTTCTGTGTCATCTAATGACTGTTAATGACGCTTTAGAACTCTTAGTAGTTTATCTCTATTGTGTTTCGTAAATTTAACGATCTTATGAAGTTTATTTTTTAATCAGAAAATGTTTTATCAAAAATAAATATATATTCAAACATTTTATCTACTTATGTCTTCATTTTTGAGATTAATATCTAATTAAATGACTTGGTTTCAAATTAATTCGTTACTCAATGAAATAAATTATTTCTACGTATCTATTGTTTATTCTTGAAACAATTAAATCATTAAATTAATATTAAGAATTATTTAATAAAATTTTTTTTACTTTCTTCTTTTATTTGATGCAGGAGATAAAATTACCTAGAGCTAATCAATTTTGTATTAATAATTAATTTATATACTTGTTTATTGATCAAGTATGTAATTAAAATGAATTATTTATAGAATATTATTACAATAGCTAATTAAACTAAAATATGCAGATCATTTATTCAAATATTTAGAAGCTGTATTCACTTGGTACAACAATAGATTCATGAATCAAATCCTACATCAAAGTGAGTCGCTCAAATCTGTATATTATTTCCAGGTAATGTATAAAAGATAAAGACTGATCTCATCATCCAACCAAGTGTGAGGAGAAAAACGACATTAATGCTGAAATATTCTCACTGATGCAGTTCTGTGAAATGCTTCAAGTAGGTAAGCAGAGTAAAAATAATTAGTGAATCATTTCAACTATTGCAGTGGTAAATTTACAAGTTGATATTTTTTTGGGATTTTGAATTACACTGATGAAGAGTAGAAATAGACTACTGTACTGAACAAGACAAAATTATCACAAGTGGGAAAGAAACCACAAATTTATCACTTGCCTGGATGTAATCTATCAACAATTAGCTTCTAGACCCAACCATAATTATCTCAATTTTTTTATTACCAATAATTAAGCCACTAAAACATCTACACATGTTTTGACTGAACCAAGCAAACACTTCTGTCCACTAACTAGGAACTCACTGACATACTCGCAACAAAGAATTTATCAAGACTAAGACACGTAGTGAGTTGACTGAATGATATTTCAATTATTCAAGCAGTAGGTGTGTCGCAATAATTCTCTAGTAATTACTATTGTAACCAATCGAGTATCACAGAAATTTCTGTTGCAAGTTTTGTCAATGATATGCAGTAGAGATGTGGATATTAAAGGTATTGTTGATAAATAATTGAAGCACATGGATTAGCTGCTCCATTCACTGATGTCTTATTCGCACGAGTACTCACTTAGATCTGTTCGTTGCTGACTGAGTGCATATCTACATATACACACAAAAAGTCTACTGAACTCTTGACTTTGCGTGATGTTGCGACGCGTTTCGGAGCAATGAGAATGAGAGCACGTGCTACGTGAGTAGTTGAAATTGTTTACATGTGCGAGGGAATTTTATTAATACATAAAGTAGGTGGTAATGTGATTCTTAAGTGTACTAAAATACTTATTAGTTTGCCGACATATCAAGATTTGCACTTCTAGATGATATGTAAACTTGTATTGTAAGTGATAGTATCTTAACTGTTTCAAGATCCCTAATGATATTCACCAGACTTCTTCTTCAACATCATCAAGTTATAAAGAGACTTTTCACTTGAGAGACTTGGCTATTGACCAAGATGAATCACGGTAAGACTTGAGAGAAAAAATGATAGTTACGTTTTAAGATACTACATTGGCCATTATTCTGCCGTTACTTGTCACAGTTAACTGTTGGAAATAAACTGTTGGTGAGCCAAAAGTTTAGATTCATGAGCTTGTCGGTGTGGACATATCAAAAAAGTAGAAATAGAAAGAGAAGATGAGAGTCATTGGACGTTGAAACTTCTCATCTATCAGCATCATTTGAATGCTAAATCAATATAAATCGATCATGAAATATAACTTTCAAATTAACTAATGAAGAAAATTAATTTTCATCAAATTAATGACGTAATAAATTAAAAAAAATATAAATACCAATCTCACAGCAGTTGTGTAAAAGTTTCTTTACAATAAAGCCTCAATGTTCCTCTCAAATCATGACCCCAATATGTTCAGCGAATGCGCTGATGGCTTCGCCAAGTCACGAAGCTACAGTACACAATTAATTCGTTATTATGAGGCTGTGACTCATAGATCCAAGTAATTACACGTGGATAATTTCACTGACGTTCCAGAGAACCTACTGACAGGCTGCAAGATATTTCTTCAACGTCAACAGCTTCTAGTTTAATCAACAACTGTACTACATCGTCCAACATATTAACTTCGTGTACCATGTCAAAATGACATGAAGATCATTTACTATCAATAGTACATAATAACATCTAAGGGTGCCAAAATCAACAATGTGAAAAGCTAAGCTTCAAGATATAATCTATCCAAGTGTCCGTTCTACATGTAGAAAGAAATCATATTTCCGCATTGGATCACTGTACTGTGGTGTTTGAATAATAATCTAATGTAAATTCTTTTCTGAATCACGGTTATTTTTAGATGAAAAAGAAACTCATTTTGTGGATAAAACTCTTTTCACATCACTGAATATACTTGAATGTCTGGGCTGAAGTACCAGATATTGGTTGAAAATCCTTCGGGTAGTTTTTACTCAATATATTTCTTACTTACCGCCACGTATGCGGAGAAAATCCGGAACAAGTTTCACCACATTGTAAACACGGTTGGCCATCTTCAAGGTCTGTGATCTGGACGCTCTGGAACATAAACATGCATGAAAATCAATTTGTCGATCCTCTCAAGGTATTTTCTGATTTTCTGCTTAATTATAATGACAACGTAAAAAAAGTTGGATAATTGAGAAAAAAGTGAGAAAGGCTTTGATACAAAACAAATATGGTCACTACGCCCACGTTAACCACCTCGGTATACTCACGTCATTTCAGGCATCACCAAATATCGACTAGACACATAAACTCGTCATTTGAGTGTACCTTAAAACCTGTGTATATGTACAAAATTTCGGATAAAGTAAACACCATAATAGTAATTACAACTTTTTAAATTTCTCCTCACTTTATCTCAGCAAAAGATCAAAGAATTCACCGCACTTCTGTGTTCATGTTTGTGACAATTTTAACGACGAGTCAGTGTCACTCATCTTCTCTTAATTAAAGTAAAAAATGTCATCCCCGACCTTGGATTCCTCGCGAAAAAAATAACGAGATAAATGCATTGCGGAAATCGCTGAAGACAACGCATACAACTTCGTAGGCGAATGCTTGCTTTCTTATATGCTTATTTATACATTCATACCAACAACACATACTCAAAGTGGGAATATAATTGCTCAAGAATACTAAAATCATGTTCACGTTGAGTACATCGAACCCATGAGTGGGTTCGTTTTATTTAATAATATTCATTATGTTATAAAAAATATTTTAATAAAATATTCATACCGAGTCTCGGTGATTCCGGGTTGAAAGTGAATCTGATGGGCGTTTCTTTCGGCTAAAGAAGTCAATATCCTCATCCATATCATCTTCTTCCTCTTCGTCATCCTCTTCAGCATCCTCTTCCTCATCATATCTGTTATAATGTCTCATCGCGACATTATTGCGGCTACGTCTACACTGATATCGTCGTTCACGTGATGTCCTTTCTGAGCTTTTAAATCGATCAGGACTTCTTGAATTTGTGTGAATCCTTATAACAGTTGTTCCATTACGTTCAATAGTAGAAAATCCCACATCATCACTATCATCATTATCAGAAGAAAATCTCGTACCTCGTTCAGGTGACTCTTCACTTGAGTACCATGACAATTCCTTCTCCACCCAAGTCAGATCTCGTGAGCCGCGGTAGTTGTGGTTACTTTTTTTCTCCTCTTTGATGCATTCGTCGCGGTAATCCTTAGACGAGAAGACTTTACAATGTCTCGAAACGTCTTCAACCTCAAGATCCTCCAACGTGGGAGGAGAGAGAGCTCTCGAGTGTCGATGATTGTCTCTCCGAGGTTTACTCCTAATAGAATCTGACTCATTGTTGTTCTTCAAGTCCTTTTTAGAAGGATCTTTAGGTTTAAGCTTGAAGGAAATTTTACGAAAAATTTGACGATCACGAGAAGATTCTCGTCTACTTGATGACTCCCTCGATTTAGAGGGAGCTTTTTCGTCCCAGAGCTTATCTTTTCGATAACTCGAAGAACTTCTTTGTCGTAATCCACCATCAGGCTCATTAAATGAATTTTCTTTACTACTTTTGACTAGATCCGAGCTTCTTCTTGGCTCTCGTGTTCTATCGTATCTTAATATCTGTGAATTGTATTTTTCAACATTTTCTTCTTTGTCACAACCTCTCTTTTTTTGTGAATAATCATTGCTTCTACTTCTTCGGCTTCCATTTATGATATGTCTACCATTCTCCTCAATATCGCGATCGAACAGACGGTCGTTGTCATTTCGCAAAGATCTTTTGTCTACATAAACGAATTCCTCCTTACAACCTTTGCTACCAGGATCGTCTTTTGCAGTTGATAAAGATCGTCCTTGAACTAAGTCACCATTTGAAGCTCTTGACAAAAGGGTACGACTCGGCTTTTGACATTTCTGATGTATCGATTTTAAATCATCGGTATCACGCCTGTATTCAAACTCCTCAATTTTTCTGACAAATTTGATTGGCTCACAGTTACCATTTCTCACTTCATCATTATAAAAGTAACGTTTCTTTTCATCATAACTCGGCTGAAAATTCGCACCTTGCCGTTCACAATCCAATGATCTCAGTGATTCATCGGATCGCTTGACCTGTTTCACAAAACCGTTGCTTGTTCTTGACTTTCCGTTTGTCAGTTTTACTTGGTTGCATTTGTCATGGTGATCTGTATCTGTATTCTTAGACTTCCTTCTTCGAGATTCATAGAATGAATTTTTTTCCGAATCCCAAATAAATTCGGAATTTTTTCCATTATTTACAGGACTCTCATTATCATCATCATCATCCTCATGTTCGTCATCGAGTCCACTATTGCGCAACTTTCCGTTTCGATTCGAGCTAAAATTATCTCTTATTTGAAAATCATTTTGTCGTGTTTTTGTTCTAAATTCCTCACAATTTCTCTTCATGTCATCACGCTCTTTAACAACAATTGATGATCTAACCTTGGGTTCCTCTTTAGTCCAACTATTCCAGAAGCGTGACTTCATTTTTAATAATATACTATATCAACAATAATATTATAATAATAATAATAATAAAGAATGGAATTTATTAACAATACCACAGCACTTGGCACCATGAACTGATCACTAATAAAAGACTTTGGTGTGTATCTTAAACTTGAGAGGATGAGTTGCACCACCACGAATTGCAATGCAAAGGAAAAGGAATTGGCTGCAAACTTTCTGAGAGTCCTGTGTATATCCGCGCGACGCGATCGTTTGTGGTCGAAGCCAAATCACCGAATCCGGCGATCGAGGCAGGATACCGCATTGAGTCTTGACTTGGCGTGTAAGAGAGAGAAGCGAGGCGGGCCAGAGAGCGACCCTGAAAGTCGCCGGCGACTTTCACGTACGCGTGTGCACTTTGCCGTGTTGCTCGCCTTCTCCTTGTATCCGTGTCTCTTCGTCGTTCTTTTCGTCACAAAAATGGATCCAGAATCCTTTCCATTTCTCTTTAAATTGCCTTCTCTCTAAATCACGATCTTTTATTTCGTGAGATTGCTCTGCTTTTAATTAACGTCTCTTTTTATCCAATGTCTGTTCACTTAGTGTATACACTAAGTTGCACTCTTCTTTGATTCACTATTCGCACTGTTTGCCGATTGCTGACGTAAAGAGCCAAGGGAATGTTTTGTCCATCTCTCCAACGAAAGCCTTTAAATTCTCTTCGTGTTGTACAAACTGGTGAATCATGAAGGTTGGTCCTCGAAAGAACGGAGGAATATTTGAAAAAAAGAAATTTAACTTCTATGTGAGACAGGTTTGTCTTGTGACGACGTAGGTCGAGTGAGTGCGACGAACTGACGGACGCAGAAGACGATGTCGACAGATCCAGCCGGTCCGTCCGGTTGAGGACATGGGGGAGAGCAAGCAGGTGACGCCCTGCACCTGAGAAGCATCACGGAAAAAAGGGAAAGATAGAGAAGCCAAGGAAATACAGGAAAAAATCAAATTAAACTCGTTTGTTCCACTAAGACAAGTATTGATATATACCAACTGTATAACGATTTATTTACGTAACCTATTACGTTTTTTTTTTTTATCATTAGTAAAAGTGAGTCAAAATAAAAAGATACAGATATCAATTGCCTTTTTTTATAATTCTTTGATTGCAAACTAAACGTTCGCCACGAGTATCGATGCAAAAGTGCCAGGTTTAACGGTTTCACGCGCCAACGATCAGCGCAATTAAGTTCCGTTCTGTGACTCGAGATTGCTCTAATGCAAAAAAATGTTGATATATGCGGAAATAAATGTTTTATATACATTTGTATGCCTATGTATGTGGAAAAAATTTTAATTAAATCGTTCACGAATATTTTTAATCAATTAAACAAAATAATAAAGGAATGATTGAATGACATTTTAATTTATCATTCTCAAAACCTCACGAATAAGCTATTAATTTAGATAGCAGAGCAGATTTAGAGAGAAAATAAATTTCAGCTAAAAAATTATACGACCTATATCAAAGCCAATAATTAAATTTTTTTTTTACAAAAAGAAGCTTTGATTTAAAATTTATAATTCGTTTTTTGTGAACAAGTTATCTGATATTTACATTTAAAAACATTTTTTTATAGCACAAAAAAAGAAAACAGAAGCTTCATTTGTAATTTCCTGTACAAATTAGTGTATGTACATATATTAATACTCTGTTTCACAGGATTTTAAGTTATGGACCTAAGTGTGTTCCTATATACAAGTGTGGGATGGAACAAGGTCTTGCCATCGGTATACGCCTCTGCTTTTGCAAGTTGGACTTTGCGGACGAGACCTTATCCGACCCATCCAAGTAATTAATTAAATAATCAAATAGAGCATTCTGATAAACTTTATAAGTCCAAACAAAAAATGGTAGAAGGTCAGAAACTTTCACTTATTATTTTTTATAAAATAGTAGGCCATCCACTTATACAATATAATAAAAAATAATAATTTTAATTAATTAAATTATTCATTACTATTCATATTTTTAAATTAAACAATACAAATAACAATGAAGAGATTTAAATTTCTTACAAGGCAAAAAAAAATGTAAACTTTCAAAAAAGCAAAGTAAATGAAATTTAATAATTCGGTATGCTTGTTGCTTTTAAAGAGTTCAATTTTAATACAGATATATTAAAGTATAACGAAATGTTCCATTCACATTTTAAGCGTGATAGTCATTGTATATTCAGCAAAAATACTGAAAAGTTGAGCGCCCGTGAGTTCGTAATAGCGGTGAGTCATTCACTGGCGAATGTAGCTCAAATGGCGAAGAGAATGGACATTTCAATTTTTATACTGATCCTGAAATATTACAGTAGTAGAAAATGTCTCGGCATTTCCATTGCCCTTCGATAACTCTTGTATGATAACACAATCTAAAACATATATGCCTCTCATGAGAATCTATAATGATAAGATCTCTATATTGTGTGTCGGACACAAAAGCTCTTTTAAATATGTAACAAGAAATATTGCAATAATGCAGCTTACAGCTTTATCGGCTTGTAATATCCCTCTGCAGACTGAGCAACAAACTCACTCGCGAGTTTATGTCCCAGTCGATCTAAGTAGAAAATAATCTAGTGATTTATCATTTATCAACTTCTTTAGAATTCAAATCGCTAAATTTCCTTATCAGTCATACTTTAAATTGTTAGGATAAGTGTAATAAATCAACCTACTTGTCCTGATTTCTAATCAAATACCTTTTACAATTTATTTTTGCAGATTAATGTATCGAAAAATTACATTTTATCATACTTAATATTTTGATTTAAAACCTAACTTAAAAAAAATATTCGAAAATATTTTCTGCATACTAGAGTCTGTAAAGAATAACAAGATTCGATAGATATATTTAATTACAGGGAAAAATATGTATTATTTTTAAAAGCTCTGACTCGGGTGGAAAATAAATTTAAACTTTGTAAATTTATGTTCTAGATGAGACTTTGATTTGTTTATAAAAGATTAAAAAATTCAATAAAGCAAAATGATTGACTGACTTCATTTAGCTCGTTAGTTCGACCAGTTCATATAACTTCCCTCTAACCCACGCTTGATAGGCCAAACTACAAGATCTCACTGATGCATAATTCATAAATTTGTGGTCACTCAAATATTCAGCAAGTTGCTATAGTCCAGAGACATAAACGTCACTCAAAGAAACGTTTAAATAAATGATCACGTCGTAATATTTTTAACATGTGGATTAACTTTATCAGCTAGTTATATAATCATCGTAGTCATTTATCAAAATAATTTTGTTATCTAGATACAATACTTGTTTTTGAATTCAACGATTCACTGGTTACGAATATAATTGTTTAAATAAAAATTTCAATATTTGTTCTCTAAACTACGCATTTATGACATCAGCTATTAGGAAATAATGACATCAGGATTTGATTAATAAACAGATATTTCAAGCAGACAAGGTCGTTATTTTTTTTTTGGTAAAACAACTGATTTATATAGGACATGAAAGACACCTGAAAGACAACCAGGAATATGATGTTATCATATTTATTATTTCCATCCACTGCATGTATATCCATGTAATTCGTAGCGGGATAGATAATATATATATATGGTGTATGTATTTTCGCGTGCAACACCTGAGGCGAGGCGTAACTTAACAAAGCAACCTACAGTTGCCTTTTAGTGAATATGTCGCATCGCTCTCTCTCTTGCCAGCCACATCGTCATCCTGTTCTCACTCCATCGACATCGTCTTTGTCGAGGAATACGCCCGCGCATTAAATAGCAAATATGCCTATGACACTTGCCTTTAATCACTGGCGTGAAAGGAAACACTGGATGTTTGATAAAAGAAAAAATCGAGCATGCTTGTTATTGCTATTCAATAAAAAATTAATTAATTTTGTTTTGATTGGAAATTTTGCACAAAAAAAGTATCAGATGTTTTTTTGCCACGTGTAGTATAATTAGTTTATGGTAGAAAAACAAGATTGGTTTTATGATATGAACTGCAAAAAAAGTTACTCATTATTGAGCTTCCATTGTGAAATAATATTTTTCTTCGCTTAAAAACAATGCACAAAATAGAAAAAAAAATGATGAAAATATGTTTTACAATATTTTTATTTTTTTAAATTATTCTTTTCTTTTTGTTATTAAATATATCTCGTTAATTTTCTATTAAAATTAATTATTATTTTATCAATTAAACTGAATAAACAAATTTTTCAACAATATAAATAATTTTATTAAATTATTTTCAACAACTGTAATTATATGTTAAATTTAAGATGAAAATATTTTTAATATTTTATGAAATTACCTAGCTAATTGCTTTATAATAAAAAATAAATGAGTTTTTTATTTATATCAAGATTGTAATGAGAATTTTTTTTTAAAAATATTTACTACATCCCGTTTATCAAGCTTATGATAAAAAAAGCATCGCTAATAATACATATGATTCAGTAGCCGTAAAAAGTTGAGTGTATGTGGAAATTACATTCATATGAAAGTGAGAAATTCACGTGATCTCATGTCATCAGGGAGCATTTAAACTGCATTATAAAGGCATACATTCTTGACTTCTTGTGTCACGCATGCTTTTAGCAACTACTTTTGATACACTCTTCTTATCATTTATTACATTCAATGATTTCATTTGAATTTTTTTATTTATTATCAATAGACTTGACTGTTAATTACATTTCTATTCACAATCTCAATCGCAAATACTAAAAATCAAATTCAAATTAATTCACTCAAGGTTTTCAATTTCTTCCTTTCAGAAAGTCTAGGCCATCGATAGGAAACCAATAATTAGAGCAATGTTACGTTACATAAATTATGCAGTTATGGAAGACCTTCGGATATTTTTTATCAATATATCCCGAATTGTGATATTCATTCTTTAAATTATATTCAATATTCGTGATATAAATATGAGTATGATGTATTTTTAAATAAAATAAAATAAAATAATTCAACAGAACAATAGAAAAAAACCTCTTTTTTCATTTCGAGCT